ATCCAATACTTTACAGCTACTTTACTCTGAAATTCATGGGCCACCTTATGCTTTAAAGAAGGTAAGTTGTCAGCAGAGGGAGGGATGAGTTCTCTGCTCACACGAAGCCTGGACTCTACTCAGAGCTGTCAAACAACAAAGCAAATTGTCAAGGAAGACCAGATCCAAAAGACACCATTACTCCCCACACTTTGCTCTCAGCAGTCATGGAATCTGACCTCCAAAACCTCTTCACCTCTAAAGACAGGTAAACATGTTTCATTGTAGGTGGACGAAATGCAAAGTTCCGCTGCTCGTTCTAAAGCGCCTGTCTGTCTCCACCCCTCTAAGGTGGGAAAGGAGAAGAAGCTGATGCAATTATTAAAAGGGCATTTGTAAACCTGCCCTGTTTCATTTTGCCAGTTTAAGTATTACAAATCCAACAAAATAAGCTCCTCCATTCCTAAGCCATAGGAGTTATTTCCTGAATTTTCCAAGATATGTGAAATGCTTCACCCGGGACTGAAAGATTTACTCACCAGAATGAAGAAAAAATAGTAAGACAACGGTGAAAATAACTTTCATCCATGATGAGCAGAAAGACATTTTGTCAAGTCTGTAGAAGAAACCCATAGGACTGTTCATGACACATGGCACAGGGACAAGTGGTCCATCTCCCAATGAAAGTTTCTGATGGGTGAGGGAATGGCTCTACCCGTCTAGAGTCCTAATTATAGGGGACTATCCCCTTTTTTCTTCCTCCAACTCAGAACCAACAAGACATGCATGTGAACAGAAGGCCTCATAGAGACTCAAGAAAAACACTAGGACAAGTCCTCCGTGCACATCGGAGAAGGAGCCATTTGCTCTCCCAAGCCTTTGGCTCAGCCCACAGGGAGCCTGGCTGCATTTAAGGAAACATGCGCTTCGGAATCTCAGTTTTTCCTCAGAAAATACAAACAGTTCTTTCAGGAAGGACTCAGTTGCAGCTGTCCTCACAGCAATGCTCTTCACCAGGGCTCCCTCCATAGGGTCCCCGCTGGACCTACCTGAAACAGAGAAGGCCGTGGGGAGCAAGGCCGACACCTCCACAGACCGTGCCGAGCTTGTTCACCTCTTCTTCCCAACCATGGCCACCCAGCTGACGCGTTTCCTTTATTGATTTGTTGGTGAAGACCTCTCTGGGGGTGAGAGAGATGGCTCCTGGCAGATAAGACGCTGAGGTATTCTCTGTTCTTCCTGGAGGCTGTAAATGAACTCGAGAGAGAGGTCTCACAAAGAAGTCTCAGGAGATAATCCCTCTGGAGGAGATTTGGGACAGTTTGGTCTGATGTACCCAGAAGTATGGGGAAGAGAGGAGGGAAGATCAGTGCTCCGAAACCCTTAGAGATGAGATACGAAATCTTCCTAAGTTAGCGAATAGGAAGGAAAGGAGAATCAAAACAGGAAAGAGAACAACGAGTTTTGGGAACGGTGACTAGACACGTAGCTAGACCCTTAGCACTTGGCAACACTAGAAGCACATTAGGCTCAACTGGAGATTTGATTTTGGTTAAATTTTTGTTTTGCGATAACTGGAGATCTCATCAAGCTGTAAGTACTAATGCACAGAGTTCTCATGTCCCTTTCAACCATTTTCCCCTGATGGGAACATCTTGTAAAACTATGGCACAATATCACAACCAGGAATGTTCACAAAGCTCCCAGATGAGTGTTGGGGTCGCCGACTTTGGGAACCTGGGCTGGAGGACAGCTTGTGAATACTAAGAAGAGGAGAGAAAGAAGGCTCAGGTGTGAGATTGAGACCACCTGGGACAGGGCCCTAAATTGTAAGTTGAATAACTGGACCTTTACCTCAAAGTGAAGCGGGAGACCCTGTAGGGTTTGAGTGGGAGGAGATTTCATCATAGCTGTTTAGCTGATCTGCTCCACAGCCTGACTCAGCGCAAAGAGTGTTGGCAGATGAAAGTCCCGAGTTCAAATCCCATCCACCACCAGGCAGCCTGGACACCAGATTCAGACTATGGAATCCACAATTTCCTAATTTTAAATGTGACAATACCAACTTCTGTCGCATAGATTTATCATAAATCACAGGGTTAACATATTAAAACAGTCTGCACATTAGTTGTCTTCTAGACTTACATTTGTCGTTCTAATCTAACTTGCCTTTTTTATCAGTTAAGAAACCCAAGATTTAGACAAGAACCTTTGAGTCTAGTGCCGTTTCAAGCCAAGTTAATGGAAGCATACAAATTCTAAGGGCAAAAAGTTTTCCTTTGTAATACTCAGTTGACTGTTATCCTTACACTGGCTCTTTGAAGTATTTATGTAGACACCGTCCCAGACAGTTGTGCAGGCAAATCCTTCCAGCATACAACATGGGAGAGACAATTCAACTGAAGTTTAGAGTTGAAGTTATTGTGACATCCTTATGTCCCACGCCCTGGACTTTTTCTCTTGTATGTGTTCATAAGCAGAGATTAAGAGCAGAAGACACTGCCTGTGATGAACAACAGGCCACAAGATTTTAAAATTAACCGCTAAAGGGCATGTTAGAAATATGCATTATTTGATGTATATCTATCTTTCCTGAAAATTTTTAAGAGCATAAATATTTATATATGCATCGATTTACAGATATTTATTGTACAACTATACCAAAATCAGACACAAATATATACATATGCATATATATACAGATATGTGCATGTGTGTATATATATGTGTGCCTGCCTGTGTCTGTATAGTTGTATGAATGTATATATCTCTATATATGTTTCTTTAGATCCATATATGTATTAACAAATATATGTATAACACACATATTTTATATGCGTTTATACATTAACATTATACATACACATATATACATAGTATATAGATATATATAAATATACACATATATACCTATATATCCCTCTATATAAATTGTCTGTGTGCTCCATTTGTCATCACGAGTGTCCTTATAAAAGAGAGAAAGAAGAAGATTTGATGCAGACACAGAAAGAAGATGAAATGGAGAGAGATTTGAAGATGTTGACCTTAAAGGTGATAGAAGATAGATGATAGATAGATATATAGATGGAAAGTAATAGATAGACAGAAACAGAGATAGAAGAATAAAACCAATATGTTTGTTGTGACTAGCTTTTTCCATTAGATAATGAAATATCTTCAAATAAGTATATACAACTATACATAATTCCTTTTAAAGGAATACAAGGTGGAATAGTCCTGAGCTAACATCCGTGCCCATCTTCTTCTACTCTATATGTGACACACGTACCGCCACATGGTTTGGTAAGCGGTGCATAGGTCCGTGCCCAGGATCCAAACAGGTGAACCCTGGGCTGCCAAAGCAGAGAGTGTGGATGTAACTGGTACACCACCAGGCCAACCCCTTGATTTCAGTATTTTTATTCTTTATGTTGGTAAGATTATCTAAGAACTCTAAGTCACAATGAGTTTCTCTGTGTTCTCTTCAAAAAGTTTTATAGTTTTACTTTTTACCTTTAAATCTATGCTTCATTTTAATCTTTTAATAAGGGGTGAATTTTAGTTCAGTGTTCACTATTTGACTATTGCTCTTCAATTATTCCAGGACCATTTGTTGAAAAGACTCTACTTCCTGCTTTAAATTGTTTCACACTACTATTTCTGGGTTCTCTATTCTGTCCCACTGATCTATATCTAATTCTCACTAATCCCACACTGTCTTCATTATGGTAGCTACACAGTAAGACTTAAAATTGGGTATTGTGGTCCAGTTTTATCCTTTTGCATATAGACATCCAGTTTCCCCAAAACCATTTGTTGAAGAGGCTATCCTTTACTTATTGTGTATTTTTATGATAAAAATAATAAAGCCATCTACTAGAGTGCCTATTAATAAGGTATGAAATAACAATTGTCGGTGAGGATGCAGAGGAAACGGAATCCTCATGCATTACTGCTGGAATGTGAGGAGGTACAGTCACTTTGCAAAATGGATTGATAGGCTCTTAAAAAGTTTAACATAAACCTACCATATGAACCACCCATTCTACTCCTAGGTGTTTATCCAGAAAAATGAAAACACAGGTCTGTAAAAAGACCTGTACAATAATGTTTAGAACATCATTTTTCCTAATAGCTCAAAAATGCTAACAATCCTAAAGTACATAAACTTGTGAATAAATAAAAAAATGTGGTCATTCAATACAACACGATATACTATTAAACATTAAAAAGTAATAAACTACTGATTTATGCTCTAGTGTGAATGAACCACAAACATATGTTAAGTGAAAGAAGCAGATAGAAAAAAAAAAATTGTTTCATTCTCCTCACATAAAATGTCCAGAGAAGGCAGAACAAGAGGAAAGAAATGCAAATGAGTGATTGCCTGGGGTTGAGGGTGGGAAGAAGGCATGAGTTCCAAGGGCAGAAAGGACATTGTTTGGGTAACGTAAACACTCTAAATTCGAATTGTGTTTGAGGTTGCTTTTCTCTCTCTGTTTCTCTCTCTGTATGTGTGTAAATATATATATATATACACACATATACACAAATACACATAGAAATTATTATATGATACCTAAAACTGATTAGATTTTGGTACATAAATATCCCAACAAACTGGTTTTTAAGAAGATTAAAATATCAAGTTTTGTATCCAAACTCCCTTTCATTACCAACATGTCAGGTTTAGAATATTGTTCAGTTTCCTGGGTCATTTCCACCATGTCTAAAATGTAGAGCTGCTGTCTACATAACAAGATGCTCAGGAGAGCGAAGTCAGATAACATGTGGGAAGCTGTTTCAGAGCTTTTGTGCAGAACAGTCATGTGATGAAGGAGCATTTCCATTCATTGTTGCATAATAACTTTAATCAGTACATTTAAATTCCTAGGGAACAGTGACTATCTCTGCTTTCGCTTATCATCTTGCTTCTAGCATTGGACTTAGGTCCGGACACATAGTAGGCCTTTACTGATGTGGACATAAGAAAAAAGAATACACAAACGAGTATACCAGTGTTCACTAAAGAATGTTTTTTAAAGTCATCTACAAAAACAGGTGATGCAATTGACTAAAAGTGTGTTTATAACGTTGTTCTATAAACTAACATTGTAACAGATACTTTCCTTCAGAGGCATACGAGAGATGCTAAATGATCTAATAGCCCCCACATTGATTACTTTTTAGATATAAAAGCATTTATTGAAAAGAACAGTGTGCCTGGCATAGTATATGTCACAGATTTCTAGTTGTCATCCAACAGTCAATCTACATTTCTGCCATTACATTCAAAATTTGGATGAGGCTTTGAACACACAGCTAAATCCTGCTTCTTGTGGCTGGAAGCTGGAGACGAATGGAGAGACATCTGACTTGGACCTGATAAAAGAAGTCCTAAATTAGTAAAGGCATTGTTGCCTGCCATCCCAGGACCACACATCCACCTATCAACTGATTTATGACCAAGGAGGAAAAACATATGTTTTCCAAAATGCCATAAATCTTAGGTTATATTTCTATAGGTTCTGCTACTCATTCAATTATAGACATATCTAGATCTTAAAGGCTAAGCCAGTATTACCTAAGATCTATGATCATAATATAACCTGTGGTGCTGGTTGGGTTTTCAGTTTCTCAGAAACGTCTCCTGAAGGTTCTGAATCTTTAGAACAGAGAGAATCCAAGTCATCAGCACTTTTTGAACACCTATGTAATGTACTATTTGATGACTTTTGGAAAATCTCTCTTTGGTTATAGGTATCAAAAAATTGCATATATCTGAACTCATTTCCCAGCCATTAAACAAGGGCCTTTTGAGCAATATAATGCCATTTAACTTTCTATCAAGCAAAATATTTAGGATTTCCAATTGTATTGGTTTTTACATTCTTAAACACGTAATTAAGATACTAGTTTTTCAAACTATCATTCAAGAATTGAACATAGAGAATAAAAATATTGAAACCAGGAGATCTCAAAGTTGGATAGAACTTGGACTATCCTCTATTTCACCTTATATTCCACAGAATTCACCTGGTCCTTTAAGTATCGACGACAATGATTGTGAAACTCTAATTGTCTGTAGAATCCACGGAAAAGTGGGATCACAATAAAAGCCATAGGACGTTGTAGCTTCAGCAAAAAGTCAGCAGTCACCATAATGAGCAAAGGTAAATTTGCCACCGCTTTCTTTGTAGAAAGATTTAGAGAGAAAGAAATAAACAATTATGAAAAGAGCACATTGAAGTCTCCGGGCTGTGCAAAAAATGCATCTAAATGAGAAAGATTTGAACTTGGGACATGACAGTGAAGCTGTGCTCCACTTCCCCAAGACACTGGACCCCACCTGCTCCCCAGCCCACCACATGTCCCATCCCTACACAAGGCTGCTTGATCCTTCCTACTTGCTCAGTCCTGACTCTGCCTTCAGACCTAGGCCTAAGAAAGGAGGGCTTTAGGGGTTGTGTTAGTCCAGATCTTACAAGAGGCAGAAACACTTTTGAGAGTAAATGAGCAAAGATATTATGAGAGGACATGCATGTGAAAGAAAATAGGAAGTGGTACAGAAAACCCTGGAAAGGGCCTGCCCTGTGGTGAAGTTTGTGAGCTTGGATTTGGTCTCCCAGGGCATCAGCAGTTCCCATCCTGGGCACAGACATGGCAACGCTCATCAGGCCATGCTGAGGTGGCATCCCACGTAGCACAAACAGAAGGACCTACAACTACAATATACAACTAGGTACTGGGGGGGGGGTGTTGGGGAGAATGAGGAGAAGGAGATGAGAAGGAGAAGGAGAATGAGATGAGAAGGAGAAGGAGAAGAAGAAAAACAGAAGATTGGCAACAGCGGTTCCTTCAGGTGTAAATAATTAAAAAAAAAATTAGTCTACTTTGTCCATTACTAGAAAAAGATAAAAGGAAAGACTGGCAAAGCCTTGGACCACAAACTCCTTGAGAATGAAGCAGAAATGGAAGGGAATTGGTAGAGGTTTCCTAGACTGCTCTGCACTCTAAGGAAGGTTTGAAAAGCCATCCTGATTTCAGGAGACAAAGTTGACAATCACATGAGGCCTTTCTACCATTAAGGGACCCATTATGATGGATTTCAGAGTGTAGACGTCAGTCTGCTCCTTATTCAGTTATGTTCCCTGTGGCTGGAAATCTGCAAGGCTGATTGTCGTGGCTACACCAAGATCTACCGTGGTGCATTAGCACTAAAGAACAATATCATACTGGCTTCGCCATTAGTGATTCATAATGAATTAAATTAAGTTAAATTAATAGGTTGTGCATCTGCAGAACATCCAGCATGGTTGTGTTGATAGTGTAAATACTACTTTCAGAAATAAGAATTTTAAGGACTGGTAGAAGTGTGTTACCTTGGCTTTTATAGAAATATTACAATTGTTTTCTGTATATGTCATGTCTAGATTATCAGCAAATGTAATTTCTTCTCATTTTGTGATGATTTCTTCACTATTTTGAAAGAGTAAATATTTACCATTGTGTTTTTAATTGAATAAGATGCAAAAATTGCATTTATCGCAATAAGTGCTGCCATTGGTTGCACAGAGTGGAAAATGTTCATTTTCTCAAATTTTTGGGTGACAGTATGGCCTACGGTATGGCTACAAAACAGAGACTATATTCACTTATTAGACAATGAATATTTGAATACAATCTTCTTAAATCTTAATATGAAATGCCATACATCCAAAAAAGGTTAAGTATAATCTACTCTTAGGTGTAAAGAAAACACTTATGTAGTCATACCCCAGTAAATAACAAAACATTATCAATATTTTAATTAAAATATTCTATTAAGAAAAGGCCTTAAAAAACATGTAACTAGCTTGACTGTATTTTTAGAATGTAACCAACTCCCCACACCCACCCCCACCCATAATTTTCCCCTCCCAGGCCCCTTCTTTCTCAGTCCTCTCCCAAACACAGGCCACAGCAGGTCACTAAACTAAATTTCTGTTTATTGTTCCCCACTTCCCTCTAGAATTTCACTATGTAGCGATACATACATATACTAGATTTATATACTTGGTATACTTTTGGATATCTTGGTAATTTACACAAAGAAAACAATACAATGTGTATTCTTATATGCCTTTCTTTTTACACTCCCTGTGACCTTTAGATATAATGATCCAAGAGCAGTAGTTTATTTATTTTCACCCCTCTGTAATATTCCACTATGTGGACATATAGAGATAATTACTATTTATCTTCCTACAAATTGATAATTGATGTGGTACTTTTTGTTTGGTTGGTTAGGATGAATAATTCTATTCTATATACACTTTTTTATATCTCTCAGTTTTGTGCTCAACTAACAACCACCCAGGAGTGGAATTATGGGGTAATTGGCTAAATACACGACGAACTGTATTCATAATACTAAATGGTTTTGTATTGCCTGCTACATTCTATATCTTGACCTTGTTGTAATAATAGTACATTCATACTTTCACTTTTTGAAGACTGAGTCTTTTCTACATTTTGTTTGGTCTATTTTGCTGTGATTTTAAAAATTAAAAATTGACATGTTCCTAATGACCAACTTACTGAACTTACTGCAACTTACTGAAATCCCGTAATTTGGTGATCTTAGAAAAGCAGCTTCTGTAACCAAAGAACAGTTTAAAAAGGTAAGAAATCCATGCATATATTGGCAGCAGAAATTTATGCAAGTAACCTACTCAAGAAGCTGCAAGTAATGACATAAGAATTTTGTGATGGTGTCAAAAATATAAATTCTCAACTATATCCAAATCTTAGAAAAAATAATGCCCAAATTAATCTAGGGCTGTGAAAAATAGTGTCATGTATTATTTTTTCAGGAGCTCCTGATACCCTGCTTGAAGATACCAATTTTGTAAAGCTTTTGAAAAGAGACATTTCATTGTGATGGACGACAATGCCCTGTGTGAAGTCACTTAACCATGAAGAAATTCTGTTCTAATATAAGAGTTCTATTCAATACCTAACAGCTACTTTTTTCTTAACTTCCTAGGCCACTCTGAGCCTTAAGGAAGATAACTGGTCACCAGGGGTGTGGATGAGCTCTCTTTCCTTACACAAAGCCTTGATTTCAGGGACTCAGTGATGATAATCCGACTTTAAAAGAATACCAGATCTGTGGAGATAGTTCCTTGCCCATACTTTGCATTTAACAACCATGGAATCTGGGCCTCAAAAGGAAAAAGAACTTAGTTAAATTTCTTGAGTCACAGATGAATGAATAGCTAAAGGCTACTGCCCATCCTACCTCACCACACTGTTTCAACCTCTCTGATGTGAGAAATAAGAAAAACCAATGCAATGGTGAAATATTTAAAAGGAATTTATAAGATGCTCTGTGTCATTTTAACAATGTGAGAATTCCAAACCCAGTAAAACACCACTGCATTCTTACGTTACAGCAGAAAGCTTTCTTTATTTCTAGGATACGCAGTGTTTTTCCCAGGACTGGAAAATTTACTCACCAGAATAAAGAGTGAAGGACAAGATGATGAAAAATCTTTGATCTATGCTGAGAAGAGAGGCATTTGAGTGAGTCTGTGGAAGAAACCCTTCAACAGTTGGCAACAATGACATAGGATGCATTGCTCATTTTCAGTGGACAGGCAAACAGAATCCAGGACCAGTTTAGACAGTGTCCTATTTATAAAGGGACTACTCCAACCCCCTATATTCCTAGTCAGGGTGGACTGTTTCCTCTTTTTTTGCTCTGCCACTATAATTCAACAAGAAATATCATGTCAACAGATGGCTGCCCCAGAGACGTGAGAGAAAGTTCACGAACAGTGCTCAGGGAACACAGGAGAAGGAGTTGATTACTCTCCGAAACCTTTGAGTCAATCCACAAGGAGCCTGGCCACATTTAGAGTAAACATGCACATTTGAATTGCACTATTCCCTTCATAAAAATAGGAATAGTTATGTCTAGAAGGTTCAGTCTGGAGCAATACTCACTGCAATGCTGTACACCAGGACTACTTGGCTGGGTGCTCCACTTGACCCACCTCACAGGAAGAGACAACAGACAGTGAAGTAACAGTGGCTATCCTGTTCATCTTTCCTTCTCAACCTTCTATCTCCATCCAAGGAAGTCACTGTTACTGATATTTGAGTGAGGGACTTGATGAGCTCTTATCAGGGCAGATAAGAGACAGAGGTATTCTGTGTCCTCTGTGAGGGTTGTAAGGTAGGTCATAAGAGATGCCTCTCAAATGCTTATCAATAGATCTCCCCTCAGCAGGAGGCTTGGGACAATCTGATCCAATGAACTCAGAAGTACAAGCAGGAAAGAAGGAAATACATGCAGGTATAAATTTGAAGATAAAGAAAATATGTGAAATCCTTTGAAGCAGGTGAGTTGGAAAGGGATAAGAGAATCAAGGAGGACAAAGAAGAAAGACTTTGGAAATGTTAATAGAACAAGGGCCTAAGCCTTAGATCTTTAAAGAAACTTGACGAATGTTAGAATCACCTAGAGAAGTTTTAAAGCTGATGGATGCACCATCTCACTATCAAGATTGTGTATCATTTATATAGGTGAGTCCTGGCATGGGTATGTTTTAAAAGCTCCTAGATGCGACTCAGGAACAGCCAGCTTTGGGAAACCCTGGCATAGAGCAAAGGATATGAATTTCTGGAATGGGAGAGAAAGAAACCTGGAGATTGATATGGAGACCAGATGGGACATTACCCTATATGCTTTGTTAAATAATTTGATCTTTATCTCAGAGGTAAGTGGGAAACAATAAAGGCTTTTGAACTAAGGGAGACATTTGGTCAGTTATTTTGTTCATAACTAGCCACTCAGCTTTTCAGAGTGATTCAATGTAAAGGATCAGTAGACATGAGCTGGCAGAAGAAAGCATCAGTGAACTGAGGTTAGACCAATAGACAGTAAGAAATCTCACAAAGAGAAACTGAAATAATGAAATAAATTGAATAACCTCAAAGAAATGTTGAACATCATTAAATGTACCTATATATGTATGATAGAAGAGGAGAATACAAGGAGAGAGAGAAAAGAGCAGAAAAATATTATCAAAGAAGTAAAGGCTGAGAATTTCTCAAATTTGATTTAAAAATCAGTAGTATTCTACACTTCTAAGGATGTAAATGGCAATTACGTTAAAAGTAAAAATAAAATCCAAACCCAGACAGATCATAGTCAAAATATTGAAAGTCAAAGATAAACAGAGCATATAGAGAAGAGCAAGAGAAAACTGACCCATCCTATAAAAGGGAGAAAATATTTAATTAACAGCTAACAATCATCAGAAAATATGGAGGCCAAAAGCACTGGCATAACATATTTCAAGTAACAAATGAAAAAAATTTCAACCAAACTTTACACCAGAATAATGATCTTATCAAAATGAAGCCCAAATAAAGACCTTCTTGGGGCCAGACATGGTAAGAGAATTTGTTGCTAAAACACCTTGGCCTCGCCTTACAAGAAACAACAGTGGGAGTTTTTTAGATGAAAGCAGACAGTAATTTGCATCTATGTGAAAAATCATGAAGTGCAGTCAGCTTCTGGAATGACTGCATGAGGAGTTTTGCTGACCCACTCTCCAGTGAAACTGGTGTAAATTATTTAAAAGAAAACAAGTAAAGTCTCTGGAAATGGTCTTAAGCGCAAACAGCAAATGAAGAAACACCTATTTGATAAATCTATGAAAATTCATAAAAAGGTAAGACTGCAGGATTTGAACCAAGATGCTCCTCCCTTGTCCCTTCCTAGATCATCAAGGTGGAGCCTCCACTCCAGACTGCTTTAGCCACGAACACAGGCCTCCTCTTCACCCAGCTCTCAGCTGGAGACTTTCCTTCCAAGGCAGAGCAGGATGTCAGCATGTCTCTTTTCACCCCTGTCTGCCTGTTGCTGGCTAATTCCTGAGTGAGGGCATTCTAGAAGTGGGGCTTCCTTCTTCCACCCAACTCCCGGTTGTAGAATGGAGGCTCCCTTTTGGGTGTGGCATACCGTGAATACTACATGCCTTCGGCCTTTCCCCAGCTCATGAGGCAATGATTCCACACCAGGAGAGGCAAGCCAAGCGAACCTGATGGCACTGATGTTGCTGCACTGAGTGCTTAGATCCCACAGTTTGAGTGGCACTCAGCGAGAAGCTTGCCATTGTCCCCACCTCTGGCTCCAGAGCCCACTATCATTGACAGCCTGCATCTCAGCAGAAACAATGGGGCCAGAAGGCAGTGGGATAACATATCAAAGTGCTCAAGGAAAACCTATCAACCAAAAACCTCATACCCAGTAAAGCTATCATTCAAAATTGAAGTAACAAAAGGTTTCCAGGTAAAAAAAAAAAAAAAGAATTATTGCTAACAGATCCACATTCCAAAAACAACTAAAGGATGTCCTTTAGGCTGAAAGAAAATTATCCCAGATGGTAATTGGAATCCACATGAACAAATAAAGAACAACGGTAAAGGCAATTATTAATTATACTGTACACTATTAATGTATATTGTTATTCTCTTAACTAATTTAATAAGCAATTGTACAAAACAACGTGTATAGAAATGTAGATAATATATTGGGGGGCACATATATGTGCATTATATTTGCCATAACAGTATAATGGAAGTGGGAGGGAGCAACGTAGTAATCAGTTACAGAAATGTAGAAAGTATGGTAACAATTGTAATGACATATTGTGGAGTTTAACACATATTACACTTACAGATGTAAATATATATAACAATAAGAGCACAAAGAGGACGAAAAGGGAAGAGAGTTATATAGGAATGATATACGCATAACTCACTTTGTTGCACTTCACTTTATTACACTTTGCAGATCCTGCATGTGTACATATTGGAGGTGCGGGGCAGGCCTGACTCAACCAAGTCTATCGGCACCATTTTTCCAGTAGCATTTGCTTACTGCATGTCTCTGTCACATTTTGGTGATTCTCACAATATTTCAAACTTTTTCATTATTATTTATTTCCTATGGTGATCTGTGATCAGTGACCTTTGCTGTTACTGTTGTAATTGTTTAGGGGTGCCATGAGCTATGCCCATATGTGACAGCAAACTTTTATCAATAAATTTTGTGAGTCTTGATTGCTCTACCGACCAGCTAACCCCCTGTGTCTCTCCCTGTCCTTGGGCCTCCCCATTCCCTTAGACACAACAATCTTGAAATTAGGCCAATTAATAATCCTACAATGGCCTCTAAGTGTTCAAGTTAAAGGAAGAGTCTCATGTTTCTCACTTTCAATCAAAAGTTAGAAATTATTAATCTTACTGAGGAAGGCCTGTTGAAAGCCAGGATAGGCAGAAAGCTAGGGCTTTTGTACCAAATTATATGCCAAGTTGTGAATGCAAAGGAAATTTACTGAAGGAAATTAAAAGTGCCACTTCAGCGAACATATGAATGATAAGAGAACAAAACAGCCTTATTGCTGATGTAGAGAAAGTTTTAGTGGTCTAGATAGAAAATCAAACCAGCCACAACATTCCCTTAAGCCAACACCTAATCCAGAACCGGGCCCTAACTCTCTTCAATTCTTTGAAGGCTGAGAGAGGTGAAGAAGCTGCAGAAGAAAATTTTGAAGCTAGCAGAGGTTGGTTTATGAGGTTTAAGGACAGAAGCTGTCACAACAACATAAAAGTACAGGTAAAGCAGCAGATGCTGAGGTAGAAGCTGCAACAAGTTATGCAGAAGATCTAGCTAAGATCATTAATTAAGGTGGCTACACTAAACAGCAGATTTTCAATGTAGACAAAACAGTCGTATTCGAAAAAGATGTCATCTCAGACTTTCATAGCGAGAGAGGAGAAGTCACTGCCTTTCTTCAAAGTTTCAAAGGACAGGCTGAATCTCTTGTTAGAGTCTAATGCAGCTGGTGACTTTAAGTAGAAGCCAATGCTCATTTACCATTATGAACATCCTAGGTCCTTAAGAATGATGGTAAATCTACTCAGCCTGTGCTCTGTAAAAGGAGCAACGAAGCCTGGATGACAGCACATCTGTTTACAACATGGCTTTCTAAATATTTTAAGCCCACTGTTAAAACGTACTGCTCAGAAAAAAAGATTCCTTTCAAAATATTACTGCTCATGGACAATGCACCTGGTCACCCAAGAGCTCTGATGGAGATGTGCATGACGTTAATGTTCAGTTTTGCCTGCCAACACAACTTTTATTCTACACCCTATGGAACAAGGAACAATTTTGACTTCCAAGAAATACATTTAGTAAGGCTATAGCTGTTATAGATGGTGATTCCTCTGAGGGATCTGGGCAAAGTAAATTGATAAGCTTCTAGAAAGGATTCACCATTCTAGATGCTGTTAAGAACATTCATGATTCACGGGAAGAAGTCAAAATATCAACAATAACAGAAGTGGATGAAATTCATTCAAACCCTCCTGGATGACTTTGAGGGGTTCAAGACTTCAGTGGAGGAAGTAGCTGCCGATGTGGTAGAAATAGGAAGAGAACTAGAATGAGAAGTGGAGCCTGAAGAAGTGACTGACATGCTGTGATCTCAAGATAAAACTTTAATAGATGAGGAGTTGCTTCTTATGGTTGAGCGAAAAAAGAGGTTTCTTGAGATGGAATGTATTCCTGATGAAGATGCTGTGAAAACTGTTGAACTGACAAAAGATTTGGAATATTACGTAAACTTAGTTGATAAAACAGCAGCAGGGTTGGAGAAGATCGACTCCAATTTTGAAAGAAGTTCTCTTGCGCTTAAAATGCTTTGAAACACCATCACATGCTACAGAGATATCATTCGTGAAAGGAAGAGTCAATTGATGTGGCAAACTTCATTGTTATCTTATTTTAAGAAATTGCTGGGGCTGGCCCCATGGCTGAGTGGTTAAGTTCTTGTCCTCTGCTTCAGTGGCCCAGGGTTTTGCCATTTCTGATCCTTGGCCCAGACATGGCACCACTCCTCAGGCCATGCTGTGGCAGTGTCCCACATATCACAACTAGAAGGACCCACAACTAGAAAATATATATATATATATATACGGGGGGGGGGATTTGGGGAGAAAAAGCAGAAAAAAAGAAAAAACAAGGAAAGAAGATTGGCAATAGTTGTGAGCTCAGGTGCCAATCTTTAAAAAGAAAAAAGA